AGTTTCTTCATCATTTTCTTTGGTAGTTGGTACATAAATTCAAATAATAGCTATATTAATTCATCTTCCTTGTAGGTGTTTTTAAGTATTATCCATCGCAGACATCATTGTACTTCTAGATTGATCTTGAAATGTTATTTTTGACAATAAATGTGACATTATCCTTATTTAGTTTGCTGCTCCTGGCATAGTAAAGCATATGATTGTCCAATTCAAAATGGCCAGTTCCTGTCCATTTCATCTAAGTGGTGTGGTGGCTGTGTGCCGTGGAGTCGGTTCCAACTCATAGTGACCCTGTATTGGGTTTCCGAGGCTGTAAATCTTTACAGGAGCAGAATGCCTCATCTTTCTCCCGCAGAATAGCTGGTAATTTCGAACTGCTGACCTTGAGGTTCGCAGCCTGATTCGTAACCACTATGCTACCAGAGCTCCTCATTTCATCTAAGTAATACCTAGGATATTGATCTTTATACATTCCATTTCATTTTTGACTACTTTCAATTTTCCTAGATTTATACTTCACCCATTTCATAATCTGATTATTACTGGATGTTGCAGCGGTTTCTCCTCATTTTGAGTTGTGTCCCATCAGCAAAGGAAAGTCCTTAAAGCTGTACTCCATGCACATCATTAAATTCAACTCTACTTTGAAGAGGAGGTGGCTCTTCCTCAGTATTTTGCGTTCCTTCTAACATCAGGGGTGCATCATCTGTCTCTATATCAAACAGTGTTTTACTGCTATTCATAAAGTTTTCAGGGGTTAATCCATAAAAGTGGACTTTCTATTCCATCTTCCTACTCTGTTATTAGTCTGGAATCTCTGCTGAAACTTACCCATTATAGATAACCTAGCTGGTATTTGAAACACCAGTGGCATGGTTTTCAGCATCACAGAAACATGTAAACCACAAAATATGTCAAACTGACAGACCTGTGGGGGTTATGTGGTTAGCAGCAAATATATTGGATAACATGACTCAGGAGAATTTATGTTTACTTTTCTCTAGATCTCGTGCTTATTGACAGCATAGGACCCCTTCAGTCCCTTTCTAGTTGGCCATTGATTTAGGATATAGTTTAAGTTTTACAGTGCTGATGGTGGCATTAGTTTGAGAGCAACTTGACCTTTTGCATTTACTTACATGTCAATATTCAAATTACAACTGTTTTTTTCCATTATATATTTCTCTGATGTATAGTCTCTGTCCGCGGGAGAAAGATGAGGCTTTCTACTCCCGTAAAGATTTACACCCTCGGAAACCCTGTACAGGGTCGCTATGGGTCGGAACCGACTCGA